TTTGTGAGGGCTCTTTGAGGGAGGAAGCTGCAGGAGCCAAGGGGAAGGCAGGCTGGAGAGTGAGTTCCCATTCTTTAGCCTCTAACTTTTGGGGGACTAATCCTGACGCTCAAGCTCAACCTCCCCCACATGGGTAAAGACAGGGGCTAGGGTGCAGCACCAGCTATCTTGGGAACAGGGAGGTGGAAGAGAGGTGCACACACACTGATGGGGAAACTGAGGCTCAGTAGGTATGATAACACCCCCAAGTCACATAGTGCATGGTGGGCTCAGGATTTGAACTCAGGGCTAGCCTAATCCAGAACTTCCCAATACCTGCAATGGGCCCCTGCAGTTCTGTCCTTTTTCCCTCCTTCAGGCCAGTACCAGGTTCCAGGAAAGAAAAAGAATCCTCTCTTCCACCCCAGCCCCTCTCCTGTCTTTTCCTCCCCTTTCTCTAGTTCGGCTGCCCACCTATAAACTGCGGCCAAGAAATGTTGGCAGTGGGAGAGGAGGGATGGGAGTCTTGGCTTTCTGCCGGATGCTGCCAAGACTTGGAGCTCAGAGGAGGGAAGAGCAGTGTCAGAGTGGACTGGGACTTCTGGAGGAGAGGGTTTGTGTGAGATGATTTAGGGAAACCTGTGCAAGAATGGAGACTACCCCCCCCCCCCGCCCCCTCCCCAAGCCTGGATTTGGGAGGGAATATTTCTGACCCAGCACTTCAGCCTACCAAGCTCAGTTCTGGGTAGATTTTTCTTCAGTGCTTTGTGGGGCAGATGTGCTAGACCCATTTCATAGAACAGAACTCTGAGACGCCGAGGAAGTGGGGTCACTTGTTGGAGATCCCACAGTGAGCTGGAGGTAGAGGCAAGGCTGGCCATGCTGGCCATGGGCCTGTACTGTCGCTGTCAGAATGAGTCCAGCTCCCATTCTGCCCCTGACCCCACCTGGGCCCCTGAGTACCTGGCATCGCTCACCTGTCTTCCTTGCTTGTGACTCCTGGGGAAGAGGGGTAGAGCTTAGCTTGGAGGGCACTGCTCTGCTGGGAAATCCACAGTGCTCAGCATCCAGGTCCAGGGTTTGGCTCTCTTTAGCCAGGGAGTGGGCATGAACTGGTGACCCGAGCTGCACAGAGGATCCAAGCAGTGATGGGAGCCATAGTATCCCTTCCACTTATGCTCATAGTGCCGTAGTGGAATTTTTCTGTTTTGCATCCCACAGGTTTCTTCTGTGCCAGTCTTTGGCTGGGGCCCTGGTGACACAGAACCCAGTGGAGCTCACAGTCTAGTGGTGGAGACAGATGCTAGGATTGCTCTATAGGGGGCGAGGGCAATGGCTAAGGGTGAGAGAAGCAAAGGATGTCAAGGAGGGCTTCTTGGAGGAGGTGGCATTTATTTCAACTAGACCTTGAAGGAAAGGAGGAGGTGGTGGGAGGAGGAGACTGGTTTTCTGCTGGAGTTCTGTGTGAGTCTTTCTTGCAGGAAGCAGTAGGTGTTGGACAGCAGAGCTTGTATTCAAGGGTCCCTGGGAGCATGAAAATGAGGACAAGATGATTCTGGGTTGAGCCTAGAGGCTGAGAAGCTGGTCACAGACCCCTGAAAGGGTTAAGTACAGAACTGGACAGGTGGGTGCCTGCCTGCCCTCAAGTCCGCAGTAAACAGTGGCTCAAACTGGTTGGGCACCTGCCTGGAGCCCAAAGCTACAGACGTCTTTGAGGGCAGGAGGCCTCTACTGCTTGGTGGGGGAAGAGATAGTGCCCCGTTTGGAGCTCAAGACTGTGCTGGGACCCACAGTGTTCAAATGCTTCCCTTCCAGAGCATGTGCATGTGTGTGTGCAGAAGTGTGTGTGTGTGTGTGTGTGTGTGTGTGTGTGTGTGTGTGCTATAGGGTCTCTCTATGTAGCCCTGGCTGTCCTGGAACTCACTCTGTAGACCAGGCTGGCCTTGAATTCACAGAGATCTACCTGCCTCTGCCTCCTGAGTGCTGGAATTTAAGGCATGCACCATAATACCCAGACCATTTAAATGCCCCATGCCTAGCTAAGGAGAGGGCATGCATGACCTGGCCAGTAGAGTTGTGTGCCAGGCTAAGGAGCCTGAGGCCAGCTAACTCCTGCATGTGGGGTGAGACTTGAGTACACACCAAAGCCTCCCTCTGTCTTCCTTGACTGCTCCTGTCTCCAGCCCCAGCTAGGTCTGTGGACCCAGAGGGGCCTTCCTTTCCTGCCGTAGGCTGCTGATTGGGCCTGCCACAGAGGTGTCTGGCCTGGATCTGCCTACAGGCATGGTGTTGGGAGGCCCAGGCCTGATTAATCAGGCTCGCTTTCCTCTTGACTGCCACATACTCTCCGCCCCCGAGCCTCTGTAAATATTATGTTTAGGGGATTTGGGCTCAGCCTCTTCTCTTCTGCCTGATGCCACCTCCACATCCACACCCAGGAGGACTGGATGCTCCCCAGCCACACCTGTCCCCTGCCCTGCTTGCCTCTGAGTCCAGATCTCCAGCTTTTGGGCTGGAGGACATCTTACTCAAATCCATGGGTGGGTTTTAGAGCTGGGAGATCTGTGGGCACATGAGCTGACTGCTTTGGCCTTTGGGTCTGTGTCTTGCAGACACAGTGGCTGTCTATCGTCCTGCTTCATGGGCGTCAGGCACTCAGTGAGAACAGTTGCAGAGTCCTGTGCCGAGGGCTGGAGAATGATGGAAATAACCTAGGGGAGCAGCTTGGCTTCCTCTAGAGTACAGACAGGGTGGGGCGGGGTCAGAGGAAAGCATCCTTTGAGAGACCTGCTCTACCTGCTTATAGGACAGACAGGCAAGCAAGGCCCCAAGTGTGGAAGGGACTTGTTCATGCATACAGCCAGGGGCAGCACCACGTCTGAGTTCATCTTCCCTGTGTTCTTCCTTGGTGGCCGACTTGTGCTTGGGTGCGGGTGACTGGAAGTAAATTAGCCTGGGTGCCTATTCCTCCCCGATGGCCCCTTACTTCCATGAAGAAAGGTGGGTGGCCTCAGCAGAGTGGTCCCCTGTGCTAGGCAGAGGACTGGGTTGGCATGGAACCCTGCAGGTTTGAAGTCAGATGAAAAGGACGACTGTCCTGTTGAATAACTGGGGAGGTCTGCTTATAGCAGGAGACAGTGGCCCCAGGCTCCCACATTCACCTGGGATGTGCAAAGTTCACCTTGAAGAAACAGCAACATCCGTGGCCTTTGGATCAGTGTGATTCTGCTCTATCTCTCCCCTAAATCCAGTCCTAGACATCCCAGGAGGAGTCAGGCAGGGCAAAGGAAGGAGGCTCACATTTGCTTCTGCTGCCGGAGGCTGTGGGGTTTGAGCCTCTTGCCTGCTCTGACCTGGAGTTCCTTATTGTGCAACAGGATGCTTACCCATTTTCCTCTGGGGTGCTGGAAGACAAATGCACCCTGGGGAGGTGGGCTCATGGACTTGGTCAGTGACAGCCCAGTTTTCCCAGCATGGCTGTCACGGTCAGCGGCCCAGCGGCACCCTCTCTGTACACTTTCGTGTCCCCCAGCTCCTGCGGCTGTTGTCCCTGCCCAAGAGGACTTTTCCTGTCTTGGGGCAGCTGGTGTTTATGGAAAGAGGGTGGGGAGGGGTGAGGGAAAGCTGCCACAGTCTGGTTGGGAGGGAAGGCCCTCTTCTGGCTTGAGACAGGACGTTGGTGCTGCAGGAAACTCTGGTCAGTTGCCGAAAAAACCCTGGCAGCATCAGGAGGCCTCGGAAGCTCGCCTCAGGGACTGCTGGGGAGAGGAAAGCATCTCTCTGCCTGGCAGGGAATGGCTGGTCTCATCACGCCGTTTTATTAGTTCCACACACATTTGTTAAGCTTGGTCACCAGTGGTTCCCTGAATGCACATGGGCCAAGCCCAGACTGTGAGCCCAGTCCAGTAGGGAGGTGGATGTCTGGGATCCCTCAGGGCAGGAAAGAGAGGCAGACTTCAGAGTGGGGACTTGGTGAGCCTTGAGCAGGGAGCAGAGCGTGATTCCTTGGGGAGGGCTCAGAGATGTGAGAAGTATAGTCTAGGTAAGTGTGGGGGTAGGTCTTTGGGGCCTGAGGGAGGGCTGCTGCAGCCCCTTTGAGCTTCTGAACCTCTTGAGACTTCTGTTGAGGTACAAGTAGGAAACTGGAGCTCAGAGGAGGCCTGGACCTTCTTCCTGTTCCTTCTGAGTGGTAAGATTGTTTCTTATGGGTATGGGAGAGCTCTAGGCCAGAGTCCCGCCAGGCTCACAGCAGGTGAGTTGCACTTGAGCAATTGATACCAGGAAAGCCCTAGTCCCCGTAGGCTGGAAGCGGCTCCAGGCCCCCCCTTGGTCTTTCTGGGGCTGTGCCCAGCTGGGGAACATCCAGGGATGTGGAGGCCTGGGGTCCTGTCAGCTCTCCTGTTCCTGGCTCTTGCTTGCCAGGTCTGCCTGTGGCAGCTTGATAAGGCCTTTTTGTCCAGCCATCTTCCCCTTGGCTTCTCTCTTCCAAACTCCTGCCAGAGATCACAAAAATATCATTGTGGGGTTGTTCAAAGTTACCAGGGCTTAAGCAAAACTATTTGCATGGTTGGTATTATTTTTGCTGGTATATGTGTGGTGGTGGTGGTTCTGGACATCTGGAGGCCCCTGGAGGCGGGAGGGTGCTGCACTGTGGAAACTGCGGTGAGGATTCAGGCTGGAGGTGTAGGCCCTGCTCTGGGTCAGTCCTCCTGATGTTGGCCTCTTTGATGACTGGCCAGCCCATGCTAGGTTGCTCTGACTTTTTGCCACCCTCTCGACCCTTAATCATAAGTCACACACAGGGTCAAAGTTCCTCATGCTGTTGGCTCTGTGCCCAGAAAGAGAAGCATTTGCAGAAGGGATCTCAGCATTTCTGTGAAAGCCAGAGGGAGGTGCCTCCTGCCAGGAGCCAGGGGTCCTGGGTCTACCTGGCTTTGCTCTATGGTTTTGGCCAAGCAATTCTCTCTGAGCCTCAGTTTCCCTGGCTGAGCAGTGTGTGAAGGAGGGGCTGGACCTGGATGAACTGAGTGAGTGTCTGACAACTGCTCAAGCATCACTGAGACCACAGAGAGATGGCAAGGGGATGACAGGATGGGGAAGGGTGGGGGTTGGGCACAGGGAGGGACTTCACGGTTGGGGGTTCATGAGGTGAAGTGGGGAGAAAGGAGGGTGGATGCAGAGTTCATACACCATCTCAGGAGACTTCCTCCCAGCCAGGATCTTAGAGTATAGACCCCATCTTCACTTAGGTCATCTGAGCCTTTTAGGGCAGCTCAGATCTTGGGGTTCCTCTCCCTGCCACTTGTCCTTTATCCTTGGTTCTGAAAAACCTCTTTCCTGGAATTGGTTGCTGAGCCTGAGGAGGATGGGTAGAGAGGAAATGAAGGGATGGACAGTTGGCCTGATATGACCATTTCCTGGTGACTTTTTCTGACCTCAGTTTCCCCACCTGCAAAGTGGGCATGATGAAATGTGTTCCCTCCCTTATGCAGAAATGCAAGGCTAGTGGCAGATCCTATTTTCTTAGTATCTAGGTGCTCACAACATGGCGGCGGCGGCGGTGGCAGGGGGTGGGGGGGTGGGGGGGGGGGGGTGTCTGGGAGAACCTGCCCATACCCTGGTCTCCTTTCTGAAGCCTCCACACATACCCTAGTCACTTGGCTCTGAAGAGGCAGGAAGTGAGCCCTCAGAAGCTCACAGCAAGTTATCTTATCAGCTGCTTCCCAGCCTGGGTATCAACAGCTTGGGTCTGGACTCTTTCCCTCACCCCCTTGGTGACAGCAGGGAGGGAGGGGGACTTTCTCATGGCCTGGAGCATGGGCTCGGCTGGAGGTCCAGGGCAGGGGGTGGGGTTTATGTCTATGGTGCCGAGTGGGGTTGGCCAGAGAGGAGTCCAGAGGTCAAAGGGCACTGTTTCTGTGCCCTTTCTCCACACTCGGGGGAGGGATGGGGGGGCGGAGTGTGTGGGGTCAGGAGGCTACTTGAGAGTGTCCCTAATACTTGTTTCTCATCCACAGTCAATCCCTGTTGTTATTATCCGTGCCAGAACCAGGGTGTCTGTGTCCGATTCGGCCTCGACCGCTACCAGTGTGACTGTACTCACACGGGCCACTCGGGCCCCAACTGCACCATTCGTGAGCTGGGCCTCAGGCCGCTTCTCTCCTGCTCCTCTGGATCTTCCTCTATACCCTGACACCTGCTTTCCTTTCTGGCTGTGGCTTCTTTTGCCTCCTTGTTTGGCTTTGACCCTGCTCAAACATGGCTTCCAAGTAAGCTCTTTTCTTGGTCCATTCCACTCTGTGGTGGCTCATGTCCATGCTCCTTGTCCTCTGTCCTCATTTTGGGTCCTGGCTCTTTCATGTGTCTTTATTCCTAAGGGTGCTGCCCATAGATTCCTGTTTGGTCCCCATTCTCTCACCATGGGTGGCTCTGGTCTTGTCAGAAGAGATGGACTCAGTGGTTCCTACTGTTCCTGCAGCTGAGCTTTGGACCTGGCTGCGGAATTTCCTGCGACCCAGCCCCTCATTCACCCATTTCCTGCTGACACATGGGCGCTGGTTCTGGGAGTTTGTGAATGCCACCTTCATCAGAGAAACACTCATGCGGCTGATACTCACAGGTGAGTGTGGGACTGGGCCCCTCTAATCTGAGGAATGAGGAATCACCCCAGTTGTTGGGATTCTTGGCCTCTGATAAAAACAGTGGGTGGAGAAACTCTCTGATGCCAGATAAAACAAGGCCCAGCATAGGAGGAGGCAGGGATGTGGGGTGGGATGGGAACAGCCTTGTCACCATTATTTTTGATCTGCAGTACGGTCCAACCTTATCCCCAGCCCTCCAACCTACAACTTAGCACATGACTACATCAGCTGGGAGTCTTTCTCCAATGTGAGCTACTACACTCGAGTTCTGCCCTCCGTGCCCAAAGACTGCCCCACACCCATGGGGACCAAAGGTGAGGGGCTGTGGTGAGGGGCTGGCCTGGGTTCTCCTCTTCAGGCAAAAGCAGGCAGAAGAGTCATTACTGACCGATGTCATAGACAGGTGGAGCAGAGCAAGACAGTTGACATGTCTAGGATAAGGAAGAGGACAGAAAAGGCAGCTAAGGTTCTTCTTAAGGTGACAAGTAAAACCAGAGGCAGGTTCTCCCAGACGAGCCCTCATGTTGTGAGCACCTAGATACTAGGAAAACAGGGTCTGCCACTAGCCTTCCACTTATTTTCTTTTTAATTTTTCTTTATTAAGAAACTTTTTATTCATTTTACATACCGACCACAGATCCCTCTCTCATGCCTCTTCCTGTTCTCCCCCCAGCCTTCCCCACCCAAGCCAACCCCCCATCCCCTCTTCTGAAAATGTAAGGCCTCCCATGGGGAGTCAGCAAAGCCTCGTACATTCAGCTGAAGCAGGTCCTAGCCCCTCCCCCTGCATCAAGGCTGTGCAAGGCATCCCACCATAGGTAATGGGCTCCAAAAAGCCAGCTCATGCACCAGGGATGGATCCTGATCCCACTGCCAGAGGTCCCTTAAACAGACTGAGCTACACAACTGTCTCACCCATGCAGAGGGCCTAGTCCAGTCCCATGGAGGCCCCACAGCTGTTGGTCTAAAGTTCATGAGTTCCCACTGGTTTGGTTGTCTCTGTAGGTTTCCCCATCATGATCTTGATGCCCCTAGCTCATAGAATCCCTCTTCCCACTCTTTGACTGGACTCCTAGAGCTCAGCCTGGTGCTTGGCTGTGGATCTGCTTCCATCAGTTACTGGATAAATAGTCTTCCATTTCTGCATAAGGGAGGGGGAACAGCACATTTCATCATGCCCACTTTGCAGGTGGGGAAACTGAGGTCAGAAAAAGTCACCAGGAAATGGTCATATCAGGCCAACTGTCCATCCCTTCATTTCCTCTCTACCCATCCTCCTCAGGCTCAGCAACCAATTCCAGGAAAGAGGTTTTTCAGAACCAAGGATAAAGGACAAGTGGCAGGGAGAGGAACCCCAAGATCTGAGCTGCCCTAAAAGGCTCAGATGACCTAAGTGAAGATGGGGTCTATACTCTAAGATCCTGGCTGGGAGGAAGTCTCCTGAGATGGTGTATGAACTCTGCATCCACCCTCCTTTCTCCCCACTTCACCTCATGAACCCCCAACCGTGAAGTCCCTCCCTGTGCCCAACCCCCACCCTTCCCCATCCTGTCATCCCCTTGCCATCTCTCTGTGGTCTCAGTGATGCTTGAGCAGTTGTCAGACACTCACTCAGTTCATCCAGGTCCAGCCCCTCCTTCACACACTGCTCAGCCAGGGAAACTGAGGCTCAGAGAGAATTGCTTGGCCAAAACCATAGAGCAAAGTCAGGTAGACCCAGGACCCCTGGCTCCTGGCAGGAGGCACCTCCCTCTGGCTTTCACAGAAATGCTGAGATCCCTTCTGCAAATGCTTCTCTTTCTGGGCACAGAGCCAACAGCATGAGGAACTTTGCCCCTGTGTGTGACTAATGATTAGGGGCTTGGGGGCTTGAGCTCAGGGGGTCAGTCTTCTGTGGCAGGCATTTTTGTCTGCTGAGCCCTGTGTGATTCTGAGGTACAGTCTCCCTGTGTAACCCAGGCAGGCCTTTAACTGGAGATGTTTTTGCCCCAGCCTCCCCAGTGCTGGGGTTTCAGGTGTCCACCACCATGCCTGGCTTTTGATAGGGGATTTTAAAACAAATTCCAAATACCAGGCCATTTCCTTGGCAAATACTTCAAGATCTTTCTTTACAGCCTACCTGTAGGGAGGGAGGACAGGTCCTGAGGAGGATGCTCTGGCCTTCCTGCTTGGGACAGTTTGCCTGGGGACTTCTGGGAGCCCAGTGGTCCCCAGGGCAGGAAGATACAAGCAAGACCTAGGCATCTACTGTTCTTTCCTATTTCCCTAACCAGGGAAGAAGCAGTTGCCTGATGTTGAGCTCCTGGCCCAGCGACTGCTGCTGAGGAGGAAGTTCATCCCCGCCCCGCAGGGGACCAACCTCATGTTTGCCTTCTTTGCACAACATTTCACCCACCAGTTCTTCAAGACCTCTGGGAAGATGGGTCCTGGCTTCACCAAGGCCTTGGGCCACGGAGTGAGTGTGCGGGGGGCTCATCAGCACATGCAGGCTCTTACCAGAATCCAGATGATCTGAGTGGACCTTTCTCTGTCCTCAGATAGACCTTGGCCACATTTATGGAGATAACTTGGAACGACAGTATCGCCTGCGTCTCTTCAAGGATGGGAAACTCAAGTACCAGGTAGTGTTGGCTTGGAGATGGGACTGTGGGAAGGGTCTCCCTCATTGTCTCTTGCTAAGATGGCTGGGTAGGGGAATGGGCCAGAGATCAAGGGCTGGGAGAAGCTAACAGGGCAAAAAGCAGATAAAGAACAGGAATGGCTTCCCATGTCCTCCCATGTCCTCCATGGCTTCCCATGCCCCCCATGGCCTCCCATGCCCCCCCATGGCCTTCCATGCCCCCCATGGCCTCCCATGCCCCCCCATGGCCTCCCATGTCCCCCATGGCCTCCCATGCCCCCCATGTCCCCCATGGCCTCCCATGTCCCCCATGCTCTCATGGCCTCCCATGTCCTCCATGGCTTCCCATGCCCCCCATGTCCCCCATGGCTTCCCATGTCCCTCATGGCCTCCCATGGCTTCCCCTAGCCTGCTGGAGATGCTTTCATTCATTTTGCTGTCCTACTTTGTGGAATGGGCACCATGGTGGGACTTGTGCAGGTGACTAAGCAGTGTTCATCTTAGCTATAGGCCCAGTCATCAAGGAACAACAGTTCAGTGGAGGTCATGTATATGAATGCCAGGGTATGGGGGAACCACAGTCCGTCAGGGGTCATATACATGAATGTCAGTGTATGGGGGAACCACAGTCCATCAG